TAGGGCCTGCCCGCCATTGGCCCATAACATTCCTGGACCCTGCTGTTGGCCCTCGATGCTTGCAGTAGACCTTCTTGACAGGGACCCATCTCCCTCAGACAGCAAAGGAATTTTAGTTGGTTAGGACCACACTCCCTCAAAAAGACATTGAGTTAAGATGTTCTCATACTGTTGCTTCATTACGGGGCAAGCAACGCCTCAACTTCTGCTTTAAAAAGATCTTCAAGCATGCAAGGCAGCCTGAACACAAGTTAATGACTCTATTGTTTTCCATTGCGTTACCTTGTGACTGGTGTGTATGTCATAATAGTGGTAAGACACTGCACCTCCCTCCAGCCAGGGAACAGTAACCCTGCAGAATGCTAATGGGGGCAGGGAGGATCACAGAAGTAGCTGACTATCTGCCCTTGTTGAGGTTACCCTACACACAGGAACTATAGGGGGGACAATCAGGGCCCACTGTTATTAATTTCAGACCAATGTACACAGATACTTTTGTTGTTGAGTTCAGTATCCTAAAGCCCAAATACTGTGGAACTTTTAATACTTCTTCTGTGTTTCAGAGATGATAGCTGGCTGCAGGTTACCCATACATATCACATCATTACTGTTTTAACCTTTGAAAATGCATTCATTTCTTCTGTGTGGCAATTTCATGATGTTAATAAATAATCACAGTAGAATGACATGAATTCCTTAATGCAGACACTGTGAGCTGCAAGAAAAGCATTATTCAACATTTTGAAGAGCACCTAAAGGATTTAATAACCAGAGACATATTTTCAAAATTGACTTAGGAAACTAAGTCTCATTAAAGAAAGTCAATGGGACTTAGACATCTAAGGCACTGTGGCAATTTGAATGTGTTAAATTTACAATGTCACCCCAAATATTTTACTACTTATACAATAAACAAAAGAATTATTTCATGTACACAAAAATTATGCTTGAACTCGTTACAAGAACTTTTAGAACAGAAATGAGAGAAATATCTAATAAATTTTATCTTTATAAAAAGAGTACTAGACAGAGTGACATGTTAAAAATCTTTCTTAAAAATAAGACCAACTAATGGTATTTAAATGGTTCAAAAGAGACATGAACTGTAAGATTACAAAACTAAAAGGTAAGGAGTGAAAAAATATCATCATTTCTTGACAGAAAAGAAGTGGATCTATAACAGTTTCACAAACTAGTTTTTGTTCTCCTAAGTTATTTTGGATATTAATTATTCAACACATAAATAACTTTATTAATGTATATTAAAAATGTGTTTGTAGATTTTATTATACATTTTATATGTATTTTAAAATACTTGAACATATTTTGGGAGTCTGTGTTTAAATTATCAGTATATAATGACTCTTATGTCAAGAGAAATATTGCAAAAGTATACCCAATACTCAGCAACATATTTGCAACTATCCAGATAGATATCAATTGGCTTTACCTCTTCCTACATTAGAGACAGTAAAACCAACTATTACAAGAAAAAAGCTATAGTTAAAGAATGTACTGATTGAAGTACATTGATAAAATAGACTGTAAGCTATTCAACAAAATTAGTAATATGTCAAAACACAAATAAATATGTAAAACTTCATATAAATGGTTGTTATCTTTGATTCACAAAATCGATGACTGTATCTTTTGCTGATAGTAACAAAATTTGGCATTTTACATAGGCACAACATTCTACAGTCATTCATTATTTACACTGGGAACACATTTAAATACAACATTGTTACTGTGATTTACAGTGATCGCAGTGAAAGAGATAGCTAAGAGTGGAGCATAAGTAAATTCAATCCATGCACTTAGTGAATATATGAAAAAAAATGTTTATACAATCTAGTCTGAGATGGACAATTGACAATATATTACACGGTAGTTCTTCAAACTCACCTGGCCAGAGCTCTGGCAATTAAATGAGAACTGTGAAGATAAATTGACACACTCTGTGAAAACAGCACTAGTGAATAACTGTCTGACACAAAATGGAGAGTAGTTAATTTAATTCATAGACTTGACTGACTTATGGTGGGGTTTGTGCTAGGAATTTCACAGAGTAGTTGGACTGTGTTTCATGCCAATTGTAGAACAGATATCCACCATAAACACAGCTAATACTTTGAGAGTAACAAGGTATATGAATATATTGTACTAGAAGATTTACCCCATGTTGCTTGGGTCCTTAACTCAAATACGTTTTGTTTTTCTTCATTTAAATTGTTGTTCTGGGGTAGAACTGAGGATGAGAGCACCAGCCCTCTTTCACTGCAGCAGGTTGGAGACAGGTGAGAAGTGTTCAGGACCATTGTAGCTGCAGTGGGGGAAGGGTGCAGGGAGCCACACAGACACAAAAACAGCCAAACTCTCTGAAATATCTAGTAGATAGCTGTTCCCTTCTCCACCCCTGCTGCCCCACTGAGGTTATAGTTATTCCAATCCTCATCCCCTGTGGTCATTCTACAGCATAACTGTCCCTCCTACCAGACCCTTCCCCTTTCCATTGTATGAGAAACAATCAAATTTCATGCACATCCCTTTGTCCTGGCATGACCAAACCCCTAATCTTGTTTTAAGATATGGTAAGAGGAAGCTGCATACCAAATTTGATGGTTCTAGCTCTTACCGTTTAGGAGTTCTTGAACAAATGGAGTCATAGACATCAGATGCACAAACTCTCTCAAATATATATAGTAGATATAAGGGCTGTGTGCTTGGTACATATTAATGAGATATAATATAGAGATCTGTGGATTCAATCCAAGCACCCTCTCTCATGCAAAAAATTTTAAATATCCTATAGAACAATATTTATGCCTATTAATCTTTTGGCAGTTAATGTGTTCTTTCGCTGGTATAAAACCTTATGAGCAGGGGCAGAGGAATACCAGCCAAGCAGCGGAGCAATAGAAACCATTCATGGATTTTAGTGCCAGAAGAGATCATCTAACCTATTCTGACTTCCTTCATAACACAGACCATTGAATTTCACCCCGTAATTCCTACATAACTCTATAACTTCTGCTGCTAGCGCTTATATTTTAGGCAGCCATCCAAACTCAATTTAAAGACTTCCAGTGATGGAGAATTCACCACATTCCTAGGAAGATTTTTTCCAATATTTAAAATCTTTTGCACGAGAGTGTCCGAACATAGCTTGAGTTTTGTAAGGTTTTCTCACAGTAATGCAGAATTTCCACATAAGTGCATTAGTGCAGCAGCTGAGATTGTACTAAATTCCACAGTCTTTATTATTCCTCACTTTGGCTATGCTACATCTTAAATCAATATAAGTTTTTGATATATAACTGATATAAGTTTATAATCAACATAAGCTCAGGAGTTTGAGTTAGGCACTGCTCTTATTTTTTAAGTTATGGGTGCCAGGGAACAGAAAATATGCCAGATTAGGAGATTAGTAAAGGTAACTCAGATACTAATCATAAAGCATCCATAGGTTGAAATTAGTTTGCTTAACCTATTTGGCAAACAATTACAAATAATGCCTACATTTGTAGAAGACATGCAAAAGGTAACTGCATTTATCAAATATATTATTTATTATAAATTGTTTTCTAATGCTACTGAAGCGCACACCTAAATTTGATTAACAGGTCTGGTAGAATTTTCATGACCGTACACAGCATTGTACACAGTTTCCATTAAAAATAAGTAGTCGTGTGGCATCTTAGAGACTAACAAAAATATATATAGTATCATAAGCTTTCATGGGCAAAACCCACAAGCTCATCTGAAGAAGTGGGTTTTGCCCACAAAAATTCATGATAATATATATATATATATATATATATTTTGTTAGTCCCTAAGATGACACAGCACTACTCATTAATTTTAAAGTTACAGATTAATACAGCGATCCCTCTGAGAATTTCCATTAAAAATGCCTTCCTATATGCCTGTACAGTGTGTAGCACAATGGGTCTTCTGCCTAATTAGGGTTTTTGGGAATCACAATAATAGAAATAATAAACAATGGTCCAGGGGGCAGCTTTTGCAATCAAAATGGACACCTTTGGATGAATTGAGTTGTTGTGGAATCAAAGTTCTCAGCTTCTTGTTTAAGAAGAGTACATTACATCACTGTTTGAATGACTCTTGGCCAGACAATGCTTGAACAGAGTCATGTCTGTCTCCCTTGGCTAGAGGAAGAATTGCCATAATATAGAGTCTACAGGCTGACGGATAAGTAGAGAATGCAAGTTAAGTAGCGCATAAAATGTTGCCTCCTCCAAAGAATCTCTCTTGGCAAAAAAACAAAACAACCTCCCCATCCCCCCTCCCCCACAGATAATGCTATGACAGACATTCAGATTAAACGTCAAATGAAACAAATCTTCACTTCCTAACTAAGTAATTAATTTTAATACCGCTCTCTTTTACTTCCAGGTCTTTCTTTCTCTTTTGTTGTTAGTTTTGATGTGTTATTCTCATTTTTATGTCTAATATTGTTTGGCTTTTCTACTATTGCTCTTTAGTCATACTCTTCTCTTTCATAAATTCCTGACAACTAATAATAATTTCTACATATAGTTAATTGCTACCCCGATTGTGCTTTTAAAGAATATCCCAAGTACAGTAACTAGTCTATCTTAGCAACATTCCACAACAATTGCACAGGAGAGGAATGAAGAAGAACTTCTAGTACAACTAAATGGGAAATTTATGTTGGCAGAAGGTAATTATCCAAACTGGAATTCAGCCAGGGCACAGGCACATACCCATAGTTTTGTGGACTAATTCCATGTGATGTTTATCTGACCATATCTGGTCTGCACCTTGACGCCCCTCCGCCACATCGGACACATTTCCTAATTTTTTGTTCTATTTTCTCTTGAGCTTCCTCTTTACCACCCCTCCACTTCCTGTTTTGTGGGGGGTTTGTGCAAAGAAAAGCATGTGCTCAGCATTAACACTGGAGTATTCTCTTTAATCATCATAACATTTTCCTTTGTATTTGCTTCAGAAGGTGACATATTTCATCCCAATCCCTCAGTATGAGACATTTTATCTATACTGCTTAAAAGGATGTCCTGAAGTCAGATTTTTGTGCCAGTCTACACTGTAGAAGACCACCTAGGAAAGTGCATATTCTTTTTACTGTATCAGTACTCTAGAACCATCTAATTAGTTCCTAGTGTTGAGACTTCATTTCTGCAAGTAAGTTTTTAAATGTCTCATA